TAGCCGTTGTGTATCGTTTATAGCAATAATGAGAACCAAATACCTGGTGTAGGTGTAACAGCAGAAACAGCTGCACTTGCGTGGACTATGAAAGAGAATATAACTGTATTATAACCAAGGATAGAGCTTGATTTATTGAGTCACTAGTTTTCGCTTTCTGACTGTCCGAACTTCCGTCTTTCCGTACGTCTGACTGTCCGTATGTTTGTTTTTAGGTCTTTGTATCTGTTTGTTTGTGATTTTGGTAGGTCTTGTGTCTGTATCTGTGTAAGTCGGTCTATCTGCTGTCCGTCTGTCTGTCTGTCTGTCTGACCGTCTGTTCTGTCAGTCGGTTTATTTTACAATTGTTTTGCAATATCCTGCAACAGTCCTGCATAACACGTGGTCCTGCTGGAACACCAAAGACAAAAGCAACAATTGACAGCAAGATCACAATACCTGGTGTAGGTGATATAACAGAGGTGGTTGAATAGTTCGCTGTGGAAGAAATAAATGAGGCTGTAAATTACAACTTAATGTACTTTGTACTTGGACGTCTTAAATTAAAATTAAAAAGTAGAATCTAGTTGTTGAACTATTATTATTATTTAAATTTATTTTTTAACAAGGCTGTCTGCCTGTCTGGCTGTCTGCCTGTCTGCCTGTCTGTCTGTCGTGTCTGCCTTTGTATCCTCACCTCCTCCATTTCCACAATAGCGTAACCAACAGGTTGGTGTTGGACCAAGTTCGTACACGTAAAATCCACTGCAGTTACGAATACGAATGTTCGTAGACCAGTGACAGCATCCAGAACTCCAGTGAAAGCACACTGTAGCATGCACAGCTCCGTCAGCTACAGAGGGATGCGAGCCATTCAACCAGCCCGGCGCATGCGAACTGCATCGATTTTTGCCTACGCATGATGTGGGCATCTCAGTCNCTACAGAGGGATGCGAGCCATTCAACCAGCCCGGCGCATGCGAACTGCATCGATTTTTGCCTACGCATGAAGTGGACATCTCAGTTCCCGCTGCCCCGCGAAACCGATACCAGCCAGATGGAAGAGAACTATCGCATTGGTAATAACCGTAGTATCCATTATAAAATCCCATTCCTCTGACGGAGTCTTCCAGGTACGAGTGGTGGGAGCATTCTGTGAGAACATTAAGGAAGAAGAAGATAGTTCCTGCTATTAGCAAAAGATCAAGTAATGTTTTAAAGTATATAATTTAAGGAAAAAGAAATTTTACACTGTGGCCAATGTCATCGACAAGTCTACCAACAAGGCTGCTTTCTGTGACAAAAAGATTGACGGTCTCAAGGGAAAAGAATCGTAAGATTCGTTTTCTCACTCTCACAATTTGGTCCAGAAAGATCACTTAAGTTAAGATAAGAAAGTACAGACCTCAGATTTCAGCAGTTGAGATTTTTGTCAAATATTCAATCACGTTTGACGTCACAAGGGCAGGAGAAAAGAAATACAGAAGTATTTATATCGCAAGTCTAAGTTCTAGGTACGAAACTCTACTCTCAATGAAATATAGGTACGCTGAGAATTTTTTTTTAAGAGTAACATGATAAGATACTAATGATTATCTGCCATGGTCTAATGCAAAGTCCAGGGAAGAGAGGGAAATCAATACAATTGGTTCCTTCAAAATTGTCTCTCTAAGAAAAAGATACGAACAAATGCAGAAGCATATAGAAAGCATATGTAGTGATACGAAAATAGTCAAGTCAACCATTCATTACTTTTCTTCCACTTGAGTTGAGAAAAGAAAGTGGACAAATTAATGATCATCAGCCATGGTTACCTACGCCATAATATGGCAATCAGTTACGTTAACTTTGATATTTATAAAAGGCAAATAAATATCAAAATAATTATACTACAAACCTGATGGATACTGCGATACTGAGCTGGAAGATACAGTTTGGCCTGTGGATGAAAAATGAAAGAGAGTTGCTTTGATCTGTTTCCATAACAAGTCCCAATTAAAATCCAAAATGTAGTTAGTTTATTTTGCCCTTTTCACTTTCCTTTTACTGCACTTTATATTATTTCTAACAATACTGTATTCACATCGTACGTCAAGTGGAGAAGTACAAAATACAAAATACAAATACAAAATCCAAAAGATTCTCCCCCTTGAACACCGCCTGTTATCATATCAAATTAAACGAAATGAAATGACTTTGACGAAGGGACATATATGTTTAACATCAGTGTTGTAGTAAAGGGATATCCCTCGGCTAAATCAATTCTACACGTTAATAAAGTTATTAGTTTTGTTATTGTCATAAAAAAAATCATAATTTATTGTATGCTCTTTTCTTACTGGATGAACTCGGTGAGATGGTAGCAGTCGTATATCCACCAATGACCGGGCAGGAAGAGAGTCTATGGTAAACTCGTTGATAGTGGGCGATGAAACCAGAGTAGGCAACTGACCCATCAGTTATAAAACGAACATGCAGTACGCTGGTGTTGCATACCAACCAAATGGAAGATTATTATCGCACTGGTAATAACCGTTGTATCCAGAAAAGTGCATTCCTCTAACGGCGTCTTCCAGGTACGAGTGGTTGGAGCATTCTGTCAGAACATCAAGGAAAGAAAAAAATTACACTGATATAACTTGAAAGAGTTTGTAAGCCTATAAAACTACGGTAAAATGAGTTTTATGATTTTAAAAAGTTGGCCATAAAGGCATTCCATTCGTTCTGTGACAAAAAAAAAAATCTTCTTCTGTAAGGAAAAGAATCCCTGTGAGAACTTTTTCAACCAGAAATTTGGTCCGGAAAGATAACTGGAGTTGAGGTAATGTACGGCTTATTACCGTTTCAATGGAAACTATCCTTATGGTAAAATCAGTGTGCTGGGTCAGACCCCAAAACAGCAAACAAAAATAGAAAACAAAGAACTTTGCCAAGTTTTCTTACCATTTCCCTCAGTTAATTATGTAAAAGGAAAATAAATACTACAAACCTGATGAATATGGCGATACTGAGCTGGAAGATACAGTTTGGCCTGTGAATGAAAAATGAAAGAGTGTTGTTAGGATAGGTTCTGGGCAAACTGTTAAAAAAGTGTCCCTCAGAAATTTTACAACGTAAAGTAAAAAGCCCGATCTTCTCACATGCACAGCGGAGAGAACAGCTGTCAAAAGCCAAAGTTTCGCTGATGATCTCATTAGAGGACGTTTTTCCTTTTCCTTATAGCAAGAAAATGCTTTAAACTTAAATGGTTTAATAAGGTCTTCATATTTGGACTCTTCAAGAGAATAGCCGCTTCATTATCGCTTAGACTATTCAATTGGACAATGCCAATAGCGTAAAAGCCGATCTTCATCAAGGCGGACTACTGAAACGGTTTTTAGCATTAATCAATCAATTAATTTGTTGTATGTTATTTTCTTACTGGATGAAGTCGGAGAGATGCTGGCCGTGGATATTCCAGGGCAGGACGAGAGTCTTTGGTAGACTTGTTCATAATGGGCGATGAAACCAGAGTAGGCAACTGACCCATCAGTTATAAAACGAACATGCAGCACGCTGGTGTTGCTGTAGATACACCAAGGATTGTGATAATCGCAGTATTTCGGTATTATGGGGTCCCACTGATTGTCCTCGTCAAATATCTGCACGTAATCATACGGGCAGCTATAGCGACTACCCTCCAAATGGAAATTTTCAAAGTACAGATAAACATAGTAGCCGGGTGTTACGGTAATTATCCAGGTGCAGTCAAGATAGTGTGGATAGAGGTATGGGTAATTTGGACTCATGAAGCTTCCTTGCAGGTCTGTTAAGTTGTACAAGCAGGAATCTGGGAATTGTCAAATGGAATATAATCAATCCTACGGCATAATAACAGCCTTAATAGTACAACGTTCCTCTCTTGTGCAAACGTGAAAACGCACTGCAAGACACTGATCGTGATAAAATGTAAAGACTCCTTAGCCAATGAGACGACTGTTCCGTTTGTCCATTATCAGAATTTCCAATAACAAAGTTGACCCACCTGGTGTAGTTGTTGGAAATGTTGTCCAAACTTCATTGGGAAAAGAAAATGAAAATAATGTAAGTGAAATGAATTCTGTTTGAAAATTTAAAATCAGATGTAAAAGCTGTAAATACTAATAATTATTTATCTCATCACCATAAGAAAGTCTTAGGCTGAAAAGTAAGAAATTCATTTTTCCTTCCCAAACACTTTTAGCATCTAAATTCTGCATGGACAAAATTGAAAAGATAATCTGACGGTTGGGCGCATGTGCAAGCTATAGAGTGAGCATAGAATACCGTTTTCGCCTTTTTACTGAAACACAGCTGTAGCTCCAAATATCAACGGCAATCAAGATATCAACGGACAGAAAATGTCGAATTTGGTATTGCACATACCCAAAGATTTGTACTAAACACATACGAGTTATCAGCCACCGACTGGTTCAGAAACAATGTGATTGCGTAGTATAAAGGAGTTGGAGCATACAAACGAAATTATAATAAGAAATACAACCTTTATAAACCACTTCTTGGCGACTGATCTCGAAATTTCATCAGTTCGTGATCAACCTCAGTCTGCAATACTTACTACGCAAGCCCAAAGAAACGAGCGACTGCCGAAAGCTTGGTTAGAAGATAGATTTTGATTGGTTTTGAAAATAATTAAAATGACCGGAGAAAAACACCAAGCAAGGAGGTCGAATGATGAGTCACGTTTTAAACAGTAAGGCATGCATAAATTCGACCAGAAATATGACATTTTCGGTATTCCAGTCAGAACTTTCCTGGCTTGTTTGCTTCCCGACCGCTCGTTAAGGAGAACAAAGACTTTGGGTGCAATATTGAGAGTAGAGCCGAATATACTGACGTTATAGGATGCACATGCGTCAAGCCGTTAAGCTCGATCCTTTAAAGTAGACACACATAAGATGATATACGTACCAGGACTTGGAGGTTCAGCTTCCGGAAAAAAGTTGAAAATGAAGGAAAAAAAGTGAGTATTAGATAAGGAACAACATTTATAAAAGCGGCAAAAATGCGGACTCATTAGTTTGCACAATTAAGCTTAATATGACACAAGAACCTCGGAGAGGCTTTACAGAACGTTTTCATCATAATTATTCACTACCGTTTCTAACAAAAAGCATGACCACCCTAGTACATACACCTGCTAACTGAATCTGCCAAACAGTCCTCTTAATCTTGACTATTACGTTGAATCCTGGCAACAAAAAATTCGCTAAGGAATAGGCGTCATTAAATTTTTCCCGGAAGGTCAAATATTAAGCTATTGTCAAAAAGTCAGAGAATGATACTTAATTAGCCCATTATGGAAAACTCCGAATGCATGTAAATTAAAGTGCACCTAACCCCCAAATTTTTTTTTTCGCTAAAACGAATCTACTTGTTATTTGAAATAGTTCTGCGAAAACATTTTTGGATTCCGTT